ACCATATTATTGTTCAGTTTGTAATCTGGCAGATGGATAGCTTCAGGCAACTTGGCCATGCCCATATGGTATATAACTGATATATTCAATTGTTAGATCACAAGACTGAAAGCCAAGAGTATATCACACCTCAAGTAATCTAAAAGTAATTAAACTAAAATCAAAATTATAATAAAGGGACTCAGTATCCCTATAAAAATCCTAATAGTGAAATGAGTAACACAAGCAATCAGAGCAACCAAATGTCAATAATGTATAGTTTGTTTTATCCTGCCAGAAAAAAAATGATTTAAGTCACATTTTCTGTGGACATATTTAAATGCCATCAGCCTTTTTTCCTGTAATTGGGGGAAAAAGCAATAGCGTGTGAAACTGACGATGAATAGCTGTTTTCCTAACCAAATCCTCAAATTTGATTTCAGATTTTACTAGCTTTGTCTCTATATACAGCCTTGCGCATGCCCATATTAAAGGTTTTCCTTAGACAGTGACCATTTTCCAATGCACGTTATTTAATTCAGGTGTCAAGGCTAATCTGGTACCCTCATGGAATCTTAGGCCAAATCCATGACTGCATTCTCTGCTGTTTGACTCTGAGGCTCTCTTGTCTGGAGATCAGATTTCTGGTTAAAACAAAGTCCTTGGGAATTACAGGCAAACTTTGCTTTGGGCTTTACATTAACATCATGTATGGGAGCCAATTATTTAAACTGTTAGGAACACATGGTGCAATGAGAGCACTGAAGTAATAAAACTAGTTCCATCACATGTTATAATAGGCCAGTACACTACATTACAACATTTAAAATGCTCCATCTATTTAACTCATGGAGTAAAAGACGCCTGTACTCAACTAGCTATTCTATATTCGTAGAGGCCCAAGTCATTGCACACTGACTTTTTCACAATACCTCCATTTTTCAGTCTGCGATACATATGTTTTAGTCTGGTAAAAGCTGCTCCCCAGACATTGTCAAAATCTCATATTATCTGCCTCAGTTTGGATTAAAGCTATAGACTTCCATTCTTTTTTTATAATAAATATTCCCCTTTTCCCTTGATTCGTTTAGTTAAAAGGGTTAAGATATAGCTCTCCCTACTCCAAATTGTATTGGAGTTATTTAAAAATAACTCACTAAAATATGTGTGTGTGGGGGGGAGGTGGGGTATGTTTAAAGTTTTAAATGAAGGCAAAGAGCTGATCTTGCAGTTGCATGTAGACGTCCCATTGACCTTATAGTCCAATTATAGTCCTGGTTCAGACTCCAATACTAAGTTAATTGTCACAGATAGTGTTTGGATAATGATTTTCTTTTCTCATTCTCTATGATCTTGAATGATTTCCACTGTAGTAGTATTGAGAGACTTTAGCTATTTAAAATATAGGGGTTCCTCCTTCATATGTATGAAGTACAAAATTTTAAGAATGGCAGGGTTAACGTAGGTTCCTAAATCCATATTTAGGCCTCTTCCAGGTTTTTCAGAGTGTTGAATGAGCACCCAACAACTTCAGCTCCAAGGAAACAGAGTACGACAGGAACTGGCCTGCCAAAGTATACCATATAGACTAGAAAGAAAGTGTGACCAGCTCGTCTTGTGGTATTTTGGCACTTCTATTAAAAACCAGGGAGTAGAAAGGAATGAAAAAATGCCAAAATGTTTCAGAATGCCAAAAGTTTCTGTTTGGATTGAGTTCTGGGCTCAAGTTTAAGGTCAGGATGGTGGGAAGGGTAATTGTATTTTATCCAGACTATTCAGTTATTCAGAAATCCTAAAAAGTCTCAGAATAGCTCTAAGTATTTACTTCTAATTCACAATCTGACATAATGATCCTATGAATGCTGAGAAAATAATGTTAGTTTGGATTCAGACTGAATCTGACACATACAAAGCCTTTCTTAAATCCATGAACCTCTTAAAAGTATTGTACCATTGTGTAGTACAGTTACATTCCATTCCCCAGGAGAATCTATGATTTAAGATTATTTTAATGTCTGTATATATGCAACACAAATATGACATGCTAAACAGGATAAGCTCCTAAACAGAACTGCCTTTTCCTTTTTCCATTTAGTAATCCTGTATCTTGAGAAACCACTAGATATTCCAATGTATGCATGTCAGGTTTTATGATTTTAGTTAAGGAAAAACCTAAAAAAAATATTTTGGATTATAAGACTTAGCCAGCATTGCCTAGGTCCTTCAGGGCAGGGTGCACGTTGTGTGGGGGTGAAGGAGTCAGGGCAGGGCCTTGGAGATGGGCTATAGGACAGGAGATTAGGAAAATGGGGGCGTGAGAATGAGAGTTGGGGTATGTCTACACTACCCCGCTAGTTCGAACTAGCGGGGTAGTGTAGACATACCCTAAGTCTTCACGGATGCAGAATAAGGCAGCCAACCCAGATGTCATATTTCAATTCCAGGGCAAAAAGAGAATCAGCAGGTACCTGGTTTACACTGTTTCCTCAAAGGCTAGTTTGCCTGGCTGAAGCAATTGTTCTGAGATACGAGTGTTTTTGGACCTCTCATATCTGCAGTCTGGGACAGACCGGAATTTTTAGAAGCATGAAAAAGTCATAATCTTTATAAGTAAAAAAAAAAAAAAAAAAAACCAGCTGGAGTGAAACAGGCACTTCAAATTGTGCTAATTTACTTCTCAGTTCAGTTTAAACAGGACACAGTAGCGCAGTAGTGCCAAATTTAAAATACATGGTGGGGATGCTTTTCTTAGTGTGAGAATATGACTGTATTTTCAAAGGGATTTTTTTTTAATTTGATGTTTGTTCCTTGTCAAGTTCTCTGAAGATCTATGGACAGGCCATGAATTTTTTAAGTGACTAGAGACTTTTTTATTGTTTTTTGTCCAAAATGTCCTGTAACATTATTTTTATCACTATGTTTCTTGTGCTCTATCTATGGATCAATAGATAAAAATAAATATATCGTGAGTGGCTCTTCACACATTATCCACCGCTATTTTGGCTCTTCGTCTCTAACTGGTCATAATCTGCACTATTATGTAGCCCATGCTTCCTATTTTAAAAATGCAATTCCTATTCTCGGCGTTTGCAAAGTGCATAGGGAACAAACCCCATTGTTATAGTGGCACGAGCCACGTGAACTGATCACAACCTCCTCAACAGCTGCTGGGTTGCCATAAGATGAAACCTTGGATGATGCCTTGCTGGGGGACGGGGGTGGTAATGATTGATACAGCCCCATGCCCACCAACTACACGCCCAGCACACACCAACACCAACACCAACGCCAATGCAAGCCATCAGGAGCGATGAGCCAACATCAAACCTCCAGCAATTCACAGACACCTCAACCCTCATTTCTTCCATCCAGGGGAACCAAAGGGCCCAATCCAACAATTATGGCTAGCGTCACAGTTACATAGTTCTACATCCAGGAGCAGTAGTGGGTAAGCATGGGGGAACACTGGCTTTTGGGGGAGATCACAGTTCCAGCACCTCTCAGGAGGAAATGCTAGCAAAACCAATGGATGCGGGAAAACACATACAGATTATTTCATTCCAGTCTCGGCAGGAGGGTCAGAATCGCAAACGTGGTTAGTACCCGGGCTGCAGAGAACTCAGAAGCAAGGCCAGCCTCTGTGTTAACCACATGTGACCGCAACAAGAAAAGGTTCGGTGGGTTTGGGTTTTTTTGCAGCCACTCAGCCTGTGCTCTGAAAACCAAAGAGTGTGTCTCTTGTGCTTGGAGAGAGAGGTTTATAGAGAGGAGAGAATGCTAGAGACCAAAAGCCATCCTAATGGAATTCAAGCAGATCTTTACCCAAATGCTGTATGAGGTTTGGTTTGAGGAGGATAACACAAAACAATTTCAACTGAAGGAATCTATCAAGCTTTTAATTAGAAATAACAAAACCAACCCCCTGTATTTCCTTCATGGGTAAAGAGGGCAGATTTCCTAATCCAATTGCATATGAAGAACACGCAGAGCTGTCTAGTTGTGCCTTCATGTGAGCAGAGTGATGTGTTCCATGCAGAGAAAGGAGAATAGTTTCCTATAAAATGGAGATGTGCCTTTCCTCTAAGAAACAGAGACTGGTGAAAGCCAGGCTTAAAAAGGAAAGCAATGGCCAAACAAAACAAGGCCATTAGCTGAAAGTTATGGCTTCAATAGGTATTTTAACCCAGGAGGGAATCATGGATCAAGGCCTATCAAGGGAAGAAAAAAAATGCACCCAAAAGCAAACAAAAATTCTATGAAAAGTAGAATTCAATCTGAAGCCATTTTCAAGATTCTGTTGGCTAATTGATGAATGTAGCTTTCTGGCACACAACTCTTAACACACCTGCTCTTTACCACATGAAGGAAATGTAGAACGTGCTGTATTGAGAAGGAACATGGTAGTACTTCAGTTTGTAACTGCCTGATACATTTGGGATACTCCTTGATCACTGTGTCAACTTCACGTCAGGAGTATTTAAGAGGGTTTTTTAAATCTTTTTAAAAGGTTCCATTATCAATCCAGCTCTCGTAGTATATTAGATAGTCATTTTATTAAACAAAGCCAATTTCACTTGATAGAAACTTCAGCAACAAATATCCTGAACACACTGTCTTAAAAAAACTTAAAAAACAACTAATGGTCCTGCAGCAGCTTAGAGACTAACAAAAAATGTAGATGGACCGTGAGGTTTCATGGGCACAATCCACTTCTGGTCAGACACAATTGGCAGGTACAAGTGAAACATGAGTCAGAGCCAGGGGAAAAAGTCACAACATTTTGTGACACAGTCATGTGAGAATCCCTAGTAACTGGAGGGACACCTCAAACACACCAGCCTACAGAATAGGTGACACAGACGACAGACGATCCATTCAAAACAGAGCTTATTTCTGCTGCCACAGAATTCCATCAAGATTAGAATATTTGCTCTAATTAAAAAAAATCAATTGCATGCAGCAAGCTTGATACGGAAAGGAGGCAGAAAAGAGAAATATGGTAACAGGTGACTATGTCCCACCTTCCCAGACTGTGCTGGGCATGGACGGCACTGCAGGAAAGACATCTCCATAATCATAATCTACAAAAATGAGGGATAAAACGGAGGATTAGAAACAAGTAACAGGGAGGGATGGGGAACATGGGAAGCATGTAAAAGGGGGGGTTGGGGGGGCAGGGCACAGAGTTAAGAAAACAATAATCTGAAAACAATGAAAAACTGATTAGGAAACATGGTTGTAGAAGGAAGTTTGCCTTCCTAAGTATTGCTATTGGGATTACAGTAGCTTCTAAAGCCCTCCACAGAGTTCAGGGCCCCTATACTAGGTGGTGTAAAGTTAAAATTGGAAAAACAATTACTGAGTAGCATAACCTAGTGGCATGTGCATTGAGGTGAGGCCCTGGAATTCCAACCCCCCGAGTTGAGGGATCAGCTTGCTGATTACTTAGCCTCTCTTTGCCTTAGTTTCACCACTTACACTTGTACTGTGAAGTTTAATTCAGTGACATTTACAAAGCCAGCAGTTTGACCAAAGGGAAGAACTGGTCCTTTGATCAAGCTCACAGTAGTGGCTTGCAACGATTAGTAGTGAAACAATTAATAAGTTAATGTCCAATTGTCACAGTTCTGCTTTGGAGTGAACAATGCACTGAGCTGAATGGGGGCTGGTCATACACCAGACATGCTGCGTCAGGCCCATGTAAATAACATCATATGCTAATGGTGCATTCCATCAAAGGGTTTGAAAGTACTTTAGAAACCGTTAGCTTACTGAGTCCCGTACCTCATTGTGGGAGGAAATGGGGCGGTATCATCCCTGTCTACAGATGGGGAAACTGAGACTCAGAGCCGAGACGTCATTAACCTGGGCCAAAAAGCTAGCGGCTGGGACTCTCAGTTCCCATTTCTAAACCAAACTCTCAGCTTCTTGTGAGTTTCAACCTCACAGCTGTATCACCTGCACTTAACACTTAATGTTACTGGAACAATTTATTAACCACTGGGGCCATACAATGGCAGTATCCAGGGGTTTGAGTCCATTCGATTATGCCTGGACCCAGACAAGTTCTGCCGAAGTCTCGGCTTGACAATGCCCTGGCCGGATTGATTTAGTTGGAGTTGGTCCTGCCTTGAGCAGGGGGCTGGACTTGATGACTCCTGAGGTCTCTTCCAGCCCTGGGATTCTAGGATTCTATGACAGGGCAGGAGATGGGTGACCTCTACGGTGGAGACACGCCATGCCAGTCATTTGGGACAAGTCTCCAGGACATGACAGAGAACAAGGGCCAGGAGATCAACGCAAACCAACTGGTACTGTCATGTCTGCCCCCTGACCTTCACTGCCTCCAACCTGTGCTGCTGGGGCTTTCGGCATTGCCTCTCTCTGCCCCACGACAGTAGTAACAGGCCGTTCAGACTTAGTTAAAATTGGCGTGAATTTTTTCTACTGCCTAACGGGGCTACCCTCCTCTCTTAAAACCTGTAAATATCCTTGTTTCTATTTTGCAAATGGACAATAGTGACAGCAGAGAAAACCAGCAAATCATCCCAGCCCTGGATGCTGTACCCAGAGCCTCCCAGCACAGGGCCTGAGGCAAGGTCCCCCGCCAGCTGGATCCTTGGATGCTGTGCCACAGGGCCTGAGGCAAGGTCCCCCGCCAGCTGGATCCTGGCTTCGTTTTGTGGGGGAAGCCCAGAGGACAGGGCCTTGAAAAAGACTAATGCTTGGAGTTTTCTTTGGGATCAGCCCTCAAAGAGCCATTTTAACCCACCAGGCCGGTGCAACTGCTGCACAAGAAAACTCTGTAGACAGACGGACCCAAATGCCACACTGAAGCCGGAGCCCTATGCTCAAATATGCTCTGGCTTTTGCTCTTCAGGATTGAAAGACGTAGCTGCTGAATGCAAGGAGGACAAGCAAACCCTGTCTCCCTGCGGTCAGTGCCCAAGGTCAAGTCGATCTGTCGGAGCAATTAAACCAGGGAACCTGGGATTTAGGCAGAATTGGAACCTTGTTGCTCCACCTGTCCTGCTGGAGAATTTCATGGAATAACAGAGTTCCTGGACAAAACCTTTCTCTTCGATCTAGGCAGGAGGCACTGGCAGCTTGGATCCAGATGGAACAAAGCATGCTGGGGCATGTAGTCTCCACTGGCCATGTCTGTATGCAAGACTGATGTGGCTCAGAGTGCAAGCTAAGGGCCCACTCCTGGCTGCTACAATCAGACCCTGTTCCCACAGCTTGTGTCTCATCTGGCCCAGTGGATTGTGGCCCTGTTTGTAGCAAAAATGGGCCAAGCACAACACTGATATATGGGAGACCAGGAGGGCACTGCCTGGCTACAAAGCTTTCATCATGATCCCAGCGAGAAGAGATGCCAAAGAGACCTCCTGGCCCTGGGAGCTTTGCCGCAGGACTCAGATTCTTGTGCAGACAGAAGCAGCACGACCGCCTGACGTCCCTGTGCCCTCTGGCCACTTACCCTCACTTGATGGCGCAATGGCGCTGTCGTCCCACTCCAGATTGGTCGAGGTGACCGAGTTGAAGGAGTTGAGCGACAGGCTGTCTGAGCCGTGGATGGAGCTGGGCAGGCGATCCTCAAAGTCCAGCAGATACTGAGGCTTGTAGTAATCTGGCATGTACGGTGCCAGGTCCAAGTAGGGGGCATCCTGAGAACAGATCCACAGAGACGATAATACACTTCCTCTCGCCGTGCAGCCCGGGCAGCCCACGTGCAGCGCGAGGTCAGATGTGCAAATAGCCGGGCTACCAATGGTCACTGAGTGAAGTGATGCCCCGAGGCGGCAGCATTTCACTGCCCCGGCCAGTCGCACCGAGCCAGCTTCCACCACAGCTAGAAACCTGCACATCGATCCCACCCAACCTGACCCACAGGCCCCCCCACGGCGTGGCTGGCGCTGCTCAGGCTTGCCGCACCTCCGCCATTGGACTGCTGAACGGGACAGGCTGGGGAATAAAGCAGTGAAGGTTCCCTCCTAGCTGGGTCCCTGAGCCACAGAGGGCGTCCTAGGGAATATGAGCCCGACTGAGCTGAATCGCATCTGCATGGAGCTCTACCTAGCGACCCCGCTTGGGGCCCACGCACTGAGGAACCGGAAGTGACTTGCTGATGCAGCAGCCGGCAGCTTGTTTCAGCCAGACGCTGGAGGATGCAGCGCTGCAGGAAGTGCCAGCTGCAGAGTGGCTGAAGGGAGAACGCGACCCAAATGCCCCGCCTCAGACGGACACAGGGAGTGCGGTTCCCAGCAGAACTCGCCCTCCATGTTTGGGCCTGGTGCTCTGGTCAAGCCATCGGGCCCATTCCCTCTCTCCCCTTTCCGCAGGGCTGGCGTGCTCTGCGCGTTGTGGTGGGATGGCCAGGCAGCCGAGTGGCTCGCGGTGCCCGATGCCCAGCATGGCAGCCCGGGGACCAGCATCCCTTCCTCCCTCCCCTCCAGGAGCCGTGTCCACGGGGGCTCTATCTCCTCTTTCGACCCTCACTTGTCCCCACAAGTAGGGATTTGGGAACCTCCATGTCTGGGCCCTAGGATCCCCAGCCTGGAAACCCTTCAGGGACTCGTTGTCGTTGGTCTTCTCCTACGTGAGCTCCATCCCCTCTCTCTGCGAGGCTCCCGGCGAGCTCACACGCAGTGGTATCCCTCGACTCAGTCTCTGCCTCTCCCCCCGACCCCCACGTGCTGTGCCTCCTGCTCCACACCCTTCCTGCTCCTGGCGTCCTGTGCCACCTGTCTCGGGCGGGGGCGCCGAAGGACAGGGACAGCGTGTTTCGCTGCAGCTCTAAAGCAACGCCTGGATTAGGGGGAACTAGATTTCCCCGGCCTTGCCCGGGTCCTTCAGACGATTCAGTTGGGCTTTTCTTTATTTCAGTCAGTGCTCTGGGGCGGGGCTGGGGAGGAGGGGTTCAGGGTGCAGGCTGCCCAGGGAGAGGGGACAACCCCCGCCCTCTCTCACCTCAGCCAGCTGAAAAGCACCTCTCCATGGCTGCTGCAGCTCCAGCAGGGTTAGCTGGGGGCAGGGGGCATGTCCCCTGGCTGGGACAGTCCAGGTTTGTCTGTCCCCTGCACTCCCCAGCCAGAGTGAGGAATGGAGCAAATTGGACACTTTCCCCTGGCTCCCTGCTGAAGGGGACCCGCCAGCCGTGTTTCCACACAAACTGGGAGGGGAAACCAGCAGCCCCCTTCCCTCCCTAAAGGGCACCTGGCGGTGGGAGACGTGGGGCTGTGGCAGTCCCCGCCCAGGGATCCTGTCTCTCTTCCGGTGGGCTTTGTGCACCCCCATCCGCAGGGCTCGAGAAGCTCCAGTCTCCTGGCCCGGGGCGAGGCGATTTCAGCTGCGCCCTGTTCCTTCGTGGCTCCGGTGCATGCGCAGTGCGGGGCTGGCGAGTGGCTTTCGCCGCTGTTTGTCAAGCCCTGCCCATCCGAATCGGGGCCCTGCTCTGGGAAGAGGAAGCTGTCTCCGGAGCGTGGTGAGTCCTGGCTCCCGCGCTCCAAGCAGGAGCTCTTGGCCACGCGGCTGGTGGCCTCCCGTCTCCAGCAGATAAGAGCCCTTGGTCAGAGCTGGGCAAACATTTCCCGGAGCAGAAGCCCCCGTCCCTTGCCCAACGTGACGGCCCAGGGCTGCCAGCGCCCCCCAGGCCCAGGGAGCAGAGCGTCCCATCCCTGAGGGTGCGTCTCCCCAGCAGCCCCGGGGACAGGCATGCGGCAGGGCGCGTTACCCCCCCCAGCCTTGTCCTGCCTTTCTCCCCAGCCGTGCAGACAGGGAGACAGGAAGGATTCTCACCAGGTCCAAGTCAAAGCGAATGAATTCCAGCCCAGATACCAGGGT